CAGCATTTTTCTCATGTTCTATTGGTTTTCAAATCAACATACTTATATTGTCCAGCAGCCAATGGCATTATCCTAGTCATTTAAGTAACCCGAGCTAGTTGATGCATCTTTAAATATCACCTCTTAATTTCTAACAGATATTTTAATCTCCGTCACATGGCAGTGCGCTTTTGAGAACAGTATTTTCCCGCTAATTGCATTTTGGAACATTTGTGCGTAGCCTACAGCCACGTGCGCATTGTTGAGCTTATAATATGAAGAAATAAAACTTTATCAACATTTTAAGCTAAACAGTCTGATCTGTTCCACCAACGTCATTGCTTCATAAATATTTATACAGTACCAGTCAAAAGTTTGGACACATACTCATTCCAGGGTTTTTCTTTATTTTTTACTATTTTCTACATTGTAGAATAATAGTGAAGACATAAACTATGAATGAACACATATGGAATCATGTAGTAACCAAAAATAAGTGTTAAACAAATCAAAATATATTTTATATTTCAGATTCTTCAAATAGCCACCCTTTGCCTTGATGACAGCTTTGCACACTCTTGGCATTCTCTCAACCGGCTTCATGAGGTAGTCACCTGGAATGCATTTCAATTAACAGTTGTGCCTTCTTAAAAGTTAATTTGTAGAATTTATTTCCTTCTTAATGCGTTTGAGCCAATCAGTTGTGTTGTGACATGGTAGGGGTGGAATACAGAAGATGGCCCTATTTGGTAAAAGTCCATATTATGGCAAGAACAGCTCAAATAAGCAAAGAGAAACGACAGTCCATTACTTTAAGACATAAAGGTCAGTCAATGTGGAAGATTAAGAACTTTTAAAGTTTCTTCAAGTACAGTCACAAAAACCATCAAGCACTATGATGAAACTGGCTCTCATGAGGACCGCCACAGGAAAGGAAGACCCAGAGTTACCTCTGCTGCAGAGGATAAGTTCATTAGAGTAACCAGCCTCAGAAAATGCAGCCCAAATAAATGCTTCACAGAGTTCAAGTAACAGACACATCTCAACATCAACCGTTCAGAGGGGACTGTGTGAATATGGCCTTCATGGTCGAATTGCTGCAAAGAAACCGCTACTAAAGACATTTACATTTTTTATAATATAAATATAATATGCCATTTAGCAGACACTTTTATCCAAAGCGACTTACAGTCATGCGTGCATACATTTTTTTTTGTGTGTGTTTTTTTACATGGACACCAATAAGAAGAAGAGACCTGCTTGGGCCAAGAAACACGAGCAATGGACATCAGACCGGTGGAAATTTGTCCAAATTGGAGATTTTTGGTTCCAAATTGGAGATTTTTGGTTCCAACCGTCGTGTCTTGTGAGATGCGGTGTGGGTGAACGGATGATCTCCGCATGTGTCACAGTACCCCCCCCCTAAAGGTGCGAACTCCGGGCGCACCAACATCAGGACTAGGGGAGGGTCTGGGTGGGCGTCTGTCCATGGTGGCGGTTCTGGCCCCGGTCGTGATCCCCACCCCACCACAGTCACAACCTGCTTCGGTAGCCTCCTCCCAATGACCACCCTCCAACTAACCCCACCTGGACTAAGGGGCAACACCGGACTAAGGGGCAGCATCGGCCTAAGGGGCAGCACCGGGATAAGGGGCAGCACCGGGATAAGGGGCAGCACCGGAACAAGGGGCAGCACCGGAACAAGGGGCAGCACCGGACTAAGGGGCCGCACCGGGCTAAGGGGCAGCACCGGACTAAGGGGCAGCACCGGGCTAAGGGGCAGCACCTGACTAGATGGCGGATCCTGGCTGGCTGGCTCTCGCGGATCCTGGCGGGACGGCTCTGGCGGATCCTGGCGGGACGGCTCTGGCGGATCCTGGCGGGACGGCTCTGGCGGATCCTGGCGGGACGGCTCTGGCGGATCCCGGCGGGACGGCTCTGGCGGATCCCGGCGGGACGGCTCTGGCGGATCCCGGCGGGGACGGCTCTGGCGGATCCCGGCGGGACGGCTCTGGCGGATCCAGGCGGGACGGCTCTGGCGGATCCCGGCTGGACGGCTCTGGCGGATCCTGGCTGGACGGCTCTGGCGGATCCTGGCTGGACGGCTCTGGCGGATCCTGGCTGGACGGCTCTGGCGGATCCTGGCTGGACGGCTCTGGCGGATCCTGGCTGGACGGCTCTGGCGGATCCTGGCTGGACGGCTCTGGCGGATCCAGGCTAGACGGCTCTGGCGGATCCATGGCTAGGACGACTCTGGCGGATCCTGGCTGGACGACTCTGGCGGATCCTGGCTGGACGGATCTGGCTGCTCATGGCTGGCTGACGGATCTGGCTGCTCATGGCTGGCTGAACGGATCTGGCTGCTCATGGCTGGCTGACGGATCTGGCTGCTCATGGCTGGCTGACGGATCTGGCTGCTCATGGCTGGCTGACGGATCTGGCTGCTCATGGCTGGCTGACGGATCTGGCTGCTCATGGGGGGCTGGGCTGACGGATCTGGCTGCTCATGGCTTGGCTGACGGATCTGGCTGCTCATGGCCGGCTGACGGATTTGGCTGCTCATGGCTGGCTGACGGATCTGGCTGCTCATGGCTGGCTGATGGTGCTGGCTGGGCGGCTGGCGGTGGAGGCGGACCCCAGCCTCGGATTGCAGTCATCACCTCCAGCAGGGCGGCTCCCATCTGCAGGAGCTGCTCTTTCTGGTCCCGAACCTGAGCTTCCAGTCTAGTATGGGCTGCGTCGGCTCCTGCTGATTCCATAGCAAGTGTATGATTCTGTCTGGCGGAAGGCTCTAGCGGCTCCTGTCTGGCGGAAGGCTCTAGCGGCTCCGATCTGGCGGACGGCTCTGAAGGCTCATGGCAGACGGGCGGCTTTGCAGGCTCAGTACAGACGGGCGGCTTATGCAGCGCTTGGCAGACGGGCAGTTCAGACGCCATAGGGCAGACGGGCAGTTCCAGCGCCGTTGGGCAGACGGCCAGTTCAGGCGCCGTTGGGCAGACGGCCAGTTCAGGCGCCGTTGGGCAGACGGCAGACTCTGGCCGGCTGGCGACGCACTCCGTAGGCTTCGTGCGTGGAGCAGGAACAGGCCGGGCCGGGCTGGCGACGCACATCGTGGACCTGGTGCGTGGAGTAGGAACAGGCCGGTCCGTACCGGGAACACACACCACTGGCCTTAACTGGGGATCAGGAACGGACCGGACTGGTAACACACTTCAGTCTCTCATGCCGTGCCACAACAACTTCCCTCCTTCTACTCGCCAATGACTCCCGTACTCCGTTAGCCTTCTCTCCTTTTCTCCCTGTGGCAGCCTCCTGCTGCTCCGTCGCCCAAGCCATGTGCCCCCCCCAAAAAATTTCTTGGGGTTGCCTCTCTTCCACGGGCTTCCAGCCTCGCCTTCGCGCTGCCTCCTCGTACCACCTCCTCTCGGCTTTGGCTGCCTCCAGCTCTTCACGAGGGCGGTGATATTCCTCCGGTTGTGCCCAAGGACCCTTTCCAGCCCGAATCTCCTCCCATGTCCAAAAATCCTTAGGAGGCGTCCATAACTCCTGTGTAGGTAGGTCCTGTTGCCGCTTGTTACGCTGCTTGGTCCTTTTATGGTGGGTTATTCTGTCACGATCGTCTGAAGGAGCGGACCAATACGCAGCGCGTGGAGTGAACATGATGACTTTATTAATAAAGCAACCACGAAGAAAACAACAAATGACGATACGTGAAGTTCAAAATACTGATACAGACTAACAGCAACACAGAAACAATAACCCACAAAACAAAGGTGAAAACACACAGAATATATATGGCTCCCAATCAGAGATAACGAGCCGACAGCTGACACTCGTTACCTCCGATTGGGAGTCATTAACCAATCACCACTAAATACAAACAAAATGAAACTCACCCATCCCCAACACCACCAAATGAGATACACCTATTTCCCACCGTAAAGCATGGAGGAGGAGGTGTTATGGTGTGGGGGTGCTTTGCTGCACACTTAACCAGCATGGCTACCACAGCATTCTACAGCGATACGCCATAATTTGTTTTTCAACAGGACAATGACCCAACACACCTCCAGGCTGTGTAAGGGCTATTTTACCAAGAAGGAGAGTGATGGAGTGCTGCATCAGATGACCTGGCCTCCACAATCCCCCGACCTCAACCCAATTGAGATGGTTTGGGATGAGTCAGACCGCAGAGTGAAGGAAAAGCAGCCAACAAGTGCTCAGCATGTGCGAACTCCTTCAAGACTGTTGGAAAAGCATTCCAGGTGAAGCTGGCTGAGAGAATGCCAAGAGTGTGCAAAGCTGTCATCAAGGCAAAGGGTGGCTTTTTGAAGAATTTCATATATAAAATATATTTTGATTTGTTTAACACTTTTTTGATTACTACATGATTCCATATGTGTTATTTCATAGTTTTGATGTCTTCACTATTATTCTACAATGTAAAAAAAAATTGTAAAAATAAAGAAAAACCCTTGAATGAGTGTCCAAACTTTTGACTGGTAGTGTATATGTGCAGTGGTTGTATTTTGAACCGTAGACATATTGTTTATCGTCCCAGGGACAATGGGACGCCCTTAATTTCGAGCCCTGGAGGGAATTATTTTATAAACCAAAAAAGTATTTGGTTGTACTTGGAATGTTGCAATATTTTATAGGCTACCAAGGGTGGCCAACCATCTTTCAGGAGAGCCTGAAAGAGGCACAGTGTAGGCTTGAATATGCAAGAAGCCAATAGGCAGAGTGTAGTAGCTAGCCTACCTTTTTGTCTGATTCTCGATGGTAAAAAAAAAGATATTAATGCATTATTTGTAAAGTGGTCCCTTGCATCATAAAATGATGCAAACATTGTGTTACAGACCATTTTTAGACAAGTGATTTGAGAAAAGCAAAATGTCCTACTTGTCCGAAGTGGCTAAAAACGTTAATGTCAAGGCCTGCAGTCACCATGGGAACAGGTTGGCATCCTCTACTGGTCTCCTTGGGAACAGTCTAATATTATTCTGTGATTGTCTCATACCTTCAGTTTCCCCCTCCTCAGAAGAGATGAGGATTGTCCCTTTCCCATCCTCGATCTGCACATCTGGCGCCACCATCCCAAACTTCTCCTTTAATATCTAACAAAGAAACAAGAATCTTTAGCTGAACACATGGATATGCTGATCACTTTTCACTGTGTTGTGGTGGTTGCAACAAAAACTACAAACCAGATTGGTGTTGTATAGATCAATATGCAACTCTCTAAGCAGTCAATATCCATCTGGCTTTTTCTCTGCCTCCCTGGTCAAAAATGTATTCATCACTGGCCAACCATGTCTATCAGTCTGTGTTTGTGTCCGTCTTTATCAGTCTGATTGTAAGCATGATCACACGCATACAGGAGGCAGAGAGGCATGCATTACCTTGTCTTGAAGGGCCAGCACAAGAGTTTTGTGCACATTCAGTTTGACTGTAACCTCTGGCTTGCTGGCACACACATAACAGTTGGCACTGGGTGGGTCCAAAGCACATGGAACCAGCAGCTTTTTCCTGGGGTTAGGCTGCTTGTTCAGGAAGATCTAGGAAGACCATACAGGAAGGAACATTGGAAAATGTTTCAGAGCACAGTAGGCATACACCAAACACCCATAATCTGCTATTAACTTATTTACAACCATCATGGCAACAATTACAGTGAATGATACAAAATGAAAAGAACCCCAGGTATGGGAGCTACAACATAACTGCTGCCCCCCCACAAAAAAAAAAAAATCAATAAAATGCTGGGCCAAGTAAGTGATATGCTGCATTTTGAAAATAGTACCCCATTCATACTGTCAAAAAGCTTCCCCCAGTGTGCAGGCTAGGGGCAGATTATCAAAGTTAGAGTACCACCCTCTAAGAGTAGAAGGGATCACTCCTGATGTCTCACCGTGCGACACTGCTCCACATCTCCAGACAGGATCTTCAGAGCCTCCAGCACAATGAGGCCAGCAATGACTGCATTGGTTGTGGCGATCGCTGGGATGATGTTCCCTGCCATGGCTGCAAGGAACAATTTACAACATCAAAAAACCTTAACAGGTAACAGATGTAGAAACATTTAAATGCCCAGTGCAGTCAAAAACGTGATTTTCCTGTGTTTTACATATATTTCCACAATATGCGGTTGGAATACTGTGAAATTGTGAAAATGATAACAGCCTTTTAGTGTAATTGCTGTTTGAAAAGACTGCCTAAAATTTCAGCCTGTTTTGGAGGAATGGAGTTTTGGCCTGCCTTGTGACATCATCTGGTGGTAAATTAGTTAACAGACCAATAACAAAGAGTTCCAAACCTCTCTGCCAATAACATATCGTTTTCAGTTTCCCCCTGCCCACTCAGACCACTTCCAGACAGTCCTAGCCATATTCTTGCTTGAGAAATGGCTATTTCTAAGAAGCTATTTTTGTTTATTTTTGACTATTTTAATTGAAAACAATCACAGTAAGGTACTTAATCGTTACCCAGAAATGATTTGATATTGAGATAAAAACAGCTGCATTAGAACTTTAAAGCAAGAAAGTAAAATCACTTGTATGAATCTGTATCAATAATAAATTGTCACAATAAGATAACTTGACAACAGCTCGACATCTTTCACCCAAAATACCCACACTTGATGTCAAAACGGCTCTTCATGTTCATGCTGAAGATATGCATGCGCAAGTTGGCGGCTGCTGTCACAAAGTCCATCGCTGGAGGGTCATCCTAGCAACAGGAGGAAAATGTTACTCAAATGCAATGTCAAAAGAGCATAATCTTCCCAGGTCTATTTTCTATCTACGCCAATATATTTTGTTCCAGTGGGGTAGTGTTGATTCTGCTATGTCCCATCCTTAGGTCCTCACCTTGTCCCACACAAGTTCTGCTCCATCCCCTTTGTCAGCCAGCATGGAGCGCAGGGTTTCCACGCTGCGGGAGAAGAGCTGGGAGTAGCCTGCCACACCCAACACCTGCTGGTCCTTCAGTCCTGTCCCAGTCACCTCCTGGGGACACGCTATCGCACAACCAGAGAGGGAGAGAGAGAGAGACAATCACAAACCTAAACCTCAAAGCTACTACAACAAAAATCTTCAAATTCAAATTGGTCCACTGCACTCTCCAGCAGCTTGGAGCAATATAATATATACTGAACAAAAATATAAACGCAACATGCAACAATTTCAAAGACTTTCCTGAGTTACAGTTCATATAAGGAAATCAGTCAATTGAAATAAATAAATTAGGCCCTAATCTATGGATTTCACATGACTGGGGATACAGATATGCATTTGTCAGTCACAGATACCTTTATTTTTTATTAATTTTTATAAATGGCATGGATCAGAAATCCAGTCAGTATCTGGTGTGACCACCATTTGCCTCATACAGCGCAACATCTCCTTCGCAAAGAGTTGATCAGGCTGATGATTGTGGCCTGTGGAATGTTGTCCCACTCCTCTTCAATGGTTGTGCGAAGTTGCTGGATATTGGCGGGAACTGGAAAAACGCTGTCGTATACGTCGATCCAGAGCATCCCAAACATGCTCAATGGGTGACATGTCTGGTGAGTATGCAGGCCATCGAAGACCTTGGACATTTTCAGCTTCCAGGAATTGTGTACATATATTTTCGACATGGGAAGTGCATTATAATGCTGAAACATGGCGGCGGCGGAGGAATGGCACGACAATGGGCCTCAGGATCTTGTCACGATTTCTCTGTGCATTCAAATTGCCATTGATAAAATGCAATTGTGTTTGTTGTCCGTAGCTTATGCCTGCCCATACCATAACCCCACCATGGAGCACTCTTGACATCAGCAAATCGCTATCCCACACGATGCCATACACGTGGTCTGCAGTTGTGAGGCCGGTTGGACGTACTGCCAAATTCTCTAAAACGATATTGGAGGCGGCTTATGGTAGAGAAATTAACATCCAAATATCTGGCAACAGAGCTGGTGGACATTCCTGCAGTCAGCATGCCAATTGCACGCTCCCTCAAAACTTGAGACATCTGTGGCATTGTGTTGTGTGACAAAACTGCACATTTTAGAGTGGTCTTTTATTGTCCCCAGCACAAGGTGCACCTGTATAATGATCATGCTGTTTAATCAGCTTCTTGATATGCCACACCTGTCAGGTGGTTGGATTATCTTGGCAAAGGAGAAATTCTCACTAACAGGGATGTAAAAAAAAAAAATAAGTGTGCACAAAATTTGAGAGGAAAAAGCTTTTTTAATATTTTATTTCTGCTCATGAAACATGGGACCAACATATTACATGTTGCATTTATATTTTTGTTCAGTGTAAGATGCTAATATCTTACCAAGTTTCTGAATCTCAAGCCAATCCAGAGGCAGTGGCGCTTTCCTCTTCTTCCACAGCTTGTCCATGGTCAGGAGGTACTGGATGTCATCTTTGAAAAGCTGGAGGACCACACAAATAAAAAGGCTATTAGCCAAAGTCGAGGGGCTAATAAGCTTGTTGACAACAAGACACTTTCACTTAAGCAGTCCTTTAGTAAATGCTTGTTCACACTAAAGCCTACCTTGTTGAAGAGTTTGACTGCGTCGTAGCCTGTGGATCGTGCCCAGTCCTTGGTTGACACCCGCTTGATGTCTCCATCCTGATCAGATGCTGTGGCTCGGGCTTCAGTGTCTGCAGGGTTCCCTGAGAATAGGAGACAAGAGACCTCAATGAAACCCAGCGTACACAGCAGCCTTTTACTGCATACGACACAGTGCATCTCACTCCTCTGGTCCATGGAGGGCAGGGAGGTGGCAGTTATAGAATTCTCAAGTGTTGCGCTCTACTCTATGCATAGCCACTTTACCCCTACCTACTCGACTAACCTGTACCCCGCACATTGACTCGGTACCAGTACCCCCTGTATATAGCCTCGTTGTTGTTATTTTATTTTTTATTTTAACTTTGGTTATTTAGTAAATATTTTCTTAACTCTATTTCTTGAACTGCATTGTAGGTTAAGGGCTTGTAACTAAGCATTTCACGGTAAGGTCTATACCGGTTGTATTCGGCAAATAAAATTGTATTTACTCACATGAAAGCTCTGGGTCAGCTGTGTCAGGGGACACCTCCTGATCTGCATCCTCCTCTCCAAAGAGCTGGCTGAGGTGGAGATGAAAATAAAACTGGATTGTCATTATCATGGGCTTAATCTCAACCTCCCAGCAATATAACATATCTCTGCAAGCAATACCACCATTCACCTAAGGATGAAGATAATAATCATGACCTATTCCACATTGGTTTACAACTAGTGAGATACATAAAAGCACTTTAACAAGACTTACTTGAAGAGGTACTTGGCCCACACAATACAGTGTATAGGCTCAGAGGGGGTGTTGCGAATGGTACAACCAGGGAAGGTTTTCTGTGTGGGTTTGGGCTGGCACTCATAGCACTCAGTAAGACCCTATAGTGTGGGAAAGCAAGGAGAGGGAGGTTATTATTCACTGTATTTTATTTGCGCTGAACATGACCATGCATCTAATCGCCATCCACAGGTTATTTTCATCCATGTCTTACCTTCTTAATAACAGTCACCTGCCCAAGGTAGCCAGCTGTGCCACTCTCAATAAGGGGAATGTCAGCTGCAAGACACATCCTGTTCACATGGTTACGAGCCGCTGCAAGGAAGAAAATATTCAGCTGGCGGTAAGACCAGGACCATAACGGGGGAAAGATACCAAACGTACTGTACGGACAGACTAGGACAGACTAGGGGTCGGGAAATAGGGTGTAATTAGAGGGAAGTAGATATCACTATACCTCGATTGTCCAAAGCATTCATGACAAGCATGAAGTTCCTGAAGAATTCCACATTGTAATCTGGGCTGTGATGCACAAACAAACCAAACATTAAACAGGATCAAGGACATTAAGTTCTCACACCGGCAACTCACAACACTAGTTGACTTACTTCATGATGCTGTCATGGTAGGCTGTAATGTTGGCAGTGGGACAGAATTGCAGCACACTCTCTTTGGCCACCTGCAAGACAGCCAGCCGTAAATTCACAAATAGTATTTAGATTGTATACAGCATACACTGAGTGTACAAACATTAAGAACACCTGCTCTTTCCATTACATAGACTGACCAGGTGAATCCAGGTGAAAGCTATGATCCCTTATTGATGTCACTTGTTAAATCCACTTCATTCAGTGTAGATGAAGAGGAGGAGACAGGTGACTGAAGGATTTGTAAGTCTTGAGACATGAATTGTTTATGTGTGCCATTCAGAGAGTGAATGGGCAAGACAAAATATTTAAGTGCCTTTGAACTGGGTATGGTTGTAGGTGCACCGGTTTGAGTGTCAAGAACTGCAACGCTTCTGGGGTTTTCACGCTCAACAGTTTCCCGTGTGTATCAAGAATGGTCCACCACCCAAAGGACATCCAGCCAACTTGACAACTGTGGGAAGCATTGGAGTCAACAAGGGCCTGCATCCCTGTGGAACGCTTTCGACACCTCGCAGAGTCTATGCCCTGACGAATTGAGGCTGTTCTCTGGGAAAAAGGGTGTGCAACTCAATATTAGTGTACTCCTGAGTGGCGCAGTGGTCTAAGGCACTGCATCGCAGTGCTAACTGTGCCACTAGAGATCCTGGTTCGAATCCAGGCTCTGTCGCAGCCGGCCGCGACCGGGAGACTCATGGGCGGCACACAATTGGCCCAGCGTCGTCCAGGGTAGGGGAGGGAATTGCCGGCAGGGATGTAGCTCAGTTGATAGAGCATGGCGTTTGCAACGCCAGGGTTGTGGGTTCGATTCCCACGGGGGGCCAGTATAAAAAAATATGTATTCACTAACTGTAAGTCGCTCTGGATAAGAGCGTCTGCTAAATGACTAAAATGTAAAATGTAGGAAGGTGTTCCTAATGTTTTGTAAGCTCAGTGTATGTTAGAATGCAAGGACCAAGTGATCTCATGTTTGTGAAAGAACAACAAAGCATCTGTCCCCTGCCTGCGCCTTGGACTTCCCCACATGTTTCTTCTGGAACAGGAACTGTCTGTTCAGGTTGCTCACATCAATAGTGTCCAGATCAATCTATAAGAGACAAAGCAAATCGAAGTTAACAAAACACTATTACTGATACAAAAAATGCTATTTATAAGATCAGGACAGGTTCACTAAAAGTGTGAACGTTGTATGAAAGACTTTGCTACAAAGACAAGTGTATACTGTTAGCTACCTACCTACCGTACGTTATTAGATATCTAGCTAGCTGCATGTAGTTTACATTGCTTATCACAAATCAGCATTGCTAGCAGCTAACTAACTAGCCTTCAAGCATACCGCTATGGACTGCTTAGCATTGTCTAGCTAATGTTAGCCGACCACAAAGAAGTCAGAACAACATGGCGCGCAATTGAAATTATGGACGAAGTGACCTAAATGTTGTGTTTTTATTATAATGCATTTAGCTAGCTAGCTATATAGCTACATTGCTAACTCCACCACTTACATATAGCCAGGTCCATGTGAACATTTTCCAATATATACACTATTATTTTCAGACTAGCTAGCATGCTAGCTACATTCTATGCTAGCACGCTAGGCCCTTCACACATCAGCCTGTAACGGCACAAAGACCCAACAAATGTCCGCCCCCTGCACGACTTACCACTTCTATATTTTTGAAGCCGGTGAGTACAAGATTTTTCAAGAGCTCGCAACCAATTCCTCCAGCTCCGACCACCAGCACCCGGCAAGCGGATAAGGAGTCAGCGAGCTCTTTTCGGAGTGACCCCACTAGTTGTACCATTGTTGATCAGCAAAAGACAGAAACTGCAGAAGACCAGAAGGGAAAGGAGCTATGTGGCTAGCTAGCAGCAGGCACCACCTCCTCACTCCGATAAGGGGGCGCTTCGACAAAAGCACACAAAGACTGATCCAACATTATGCCCGTAGTGCCGCCTGCTGGAAAGGCGAGGTTTAGGCTTTTGAGTTGAGTTCGTTGAGTTTCCTTCTCTGACCGTCCAGTGCACAACCGCACACCAAAACCATGACCAAAATAGGCTTTGTTGCTGCCTTTCTCACTATGTGGGTGGGAAGATATTGTTGGATACCAGTTTTGATTATATAGCTAGTTCAAGATAGAGCAGTGGCAAATTAATTACATTCAGATTAACACAAACATCCAGGCAAACTAAAACGAGTAGTCATGATGAAAATGATTGCGAGCCAGAGTATCACTGACATAAAACTAGTTTATTGCTTTGAGTGGTGGTGAACATATATAGAAGTCCACTTTTGCACTATGTCTCTTGCTGATTATGCACACCCACTAGACTCTACCCACACACTCACACATACTTACAATGACACCCCAACACACATACACACACACTACATATACCCACACACACATAACACACACATACACACACATACTTTCACACTCACCACATACCCTGCTGCTACTGTCTATTATCTATCCTGTTGCCTAGTCACTTTATCCATACCTATATGTACAGTGCCTTCAGAAAGTATTCACACCACTTGACTTTTTCCACATTTTGTTGTGTTACAGCCTGAATTTAAAATGGATTAAATTGAGATTTTGTGTCACTGGCCTACACACAATACCCCATCATGTGAAAGTGGAATATTTTTTGGGACAGTTTTACAAATTAATAAAAAATGAAAAGCTGAAATGGCTTGAGTCAGTAAGTATTCAACCCCATTGCTATGGCAAGCCTAAATAAGTTCAGGAGTAAAAATGTGCTTAACAAGTCACATAATAAGTTGCATGGACACTGTGTGCAATAATAGTGTTCAACATGATTTTTGAATGACTACCTCATCTCTGTACCCCACATATACAATTATCTGTAAGGTCCCTCAGTCAAGCAGTGAATTTCAAACACTGATTCAACCACAAGGTTTTCCAATGCCTCTCAAAGAAGGGCACCTATTGGTAGATGTGTAAAAAAAATAAAAAGCAGATATTCAATATCCCTTTGAGCATGGTGAAGTTATTAATTACACTTTGGATGGTGTATCAATACATCCAGTCACTACAAAGATAACTCAGTTGATGGAGAGGAAGTAAACCGCTCAGCGATTTCACCATGAGGTCAATGATGACTTTAAAACAGTTACAGAGTTTAATGGCTGTGAAAAGAGAAAACTGAGGATGGATCAACAACATTGTAGTTGCTCAACAATACTAACCTAATTGACAGAGTGAAAAGAGGGAAGCCTGTACAGAATACAAATATTCCAAAACATGCATTCTGTTTGCAACAAGACACTAAAGTAATACTGCAAAAAAAAAAATGCTAAGCAATTAACTTTTTGTCCTGAATACAAACTCTTATGTTTGGGGCAAATCCAGAAAAAAACACATTACTGAGTAACACTCTCCATATTTTCAAGCATAGTGCTGGCTTCATCATGTTATGGGTATGCTTGTAATTGTTAAGAACTGGGGAGTTTTTCAGGATAAAAAAGAAACAAAATGGAGCTAAGCACAGGCAAAATCCTAGAGAAAAACCTGGTTCAGTCTGCTTTCCACCAGACACTGGGAGATGAATTCACCTTTCAGCAGGACAATAACCTAAAACACAAGGCCAAATCTACACTGCACTCTCACTCCATTTATAAAAACATGTTTTCACCTTGTCATTATGGGGTATTGTGTGTAGTAGATTGATAAGAATTTTTATTTATTTAATCCATTTTGAATTCAAGCTGTAACACAACAACATGTGGAATAAGTCAAGGGCTACGAATACTTTCTGAAGGCACTGTACATAGCTACCTCAATTACCTCTTACCCCTGCACATTGACTTGGTACTAGTACTCCCTGTATATATTTACATTTTAGTCATTTAGCAGACGCTCTTATCCAGAGCGACTTACAGTTAGTGAGTGCATACATTTTCATACTGGCCCCCCATGGGAAACAAACCCACAACCCTGGCGTTGCAAGCGCCATGCTCTACCAACTGAGCTACAGGGGACCCAGGAGCTGTATATAGCCATTATATTTTATTTTTTTATTAATCACTGTGTATTTATTCCTCGCGTCACTATTTCTAGTTATTTTTCTTTTACTTTTTCTATTACTCGTAAGTAAGCATTTCACTGTTAGTCTACACATGTTGTATACAAAGCATGTGATAAATACAATTGTATTTGATTTCATGTGAAATTATTATCTACCATAAATTAAGGCTTTTCAGTGCTTAACTTGCTCAAACACAGTTTGAGAATATGGATCCTGAATATGGATCCTGAACATGGCATCAGAGCAGTAGGCAAGGTATTCATCTTCATCCTCCTTGGTCATAGTGAGCTGTTTTTTCTGGTACCACTGCTGTTTCTGCTGAAGCTCCTGGGTCTCCTACAGACACAGTATGTATTACATTATACTTTATAACAGCATTACAGACCAACATTAGAAAAATACAGACAACTAAAACCATCTTTTACAAATGTACAGTGGGTATAGAAAGTCACCACCCCCTTTCAAAATGTTCACCTTTTGTTGCCTGACAGCCTGAAATGAAAACACATATAATCAGACTTTATTACTTTATTTACACATAGTAACCCACAATATCCAAGTGAATTAAAAAATAAAAATAAATTAAAACTGTAAAATACCCTCTTTGGATAAGTGAACCCCCCCCCCCCCCCCCCCCCTTAGAATTGCAATTGAGGTATAACCAACCACCTTCCAGATAAAAAATCAAGCTAATTGGCTTCCATCTGTGATCAATTGTAGTGACTTTGATTAGTTCAGAATAAAAGCAGTTGTTCATAGAGGACTCCACTGCTTAGTAGTGCAATTCAAAGCAAATAATCCACTATGGGCAGAACGGTACTTTCAAAAGATCTACGAGATAAAGTTGTGGAAAGGCACAAGTCGGGATGGATATGAAAAGATTTCAAAGGCTTTGTCTATCCCTCGGAGCACAGTTGAGACCATTATTAAGAAGTGGAAGGCACCACCCAGACCCTGCATAAATCAGGCCGTCCCTCCAAACTCGATGACCAGGCAAGGAGGAGAATGATCAGAGAGGCTACCAAGAAGCCAATGGCTTCAACAGGGGCTGGAGCACTTGTCAGGATAGAAGGGAAAATGGACAGTGCAAAATACCACCGATTCTTGAGGAGAACCTGCAGCCCTCTGCCAGGAAGTTGAAAATGGGAAGATGGTTCACGTTTCAACATGACAATGACCCAAAGCACACCGCCAAAGCAACCGTACAGTGGCTGAAGGACAAGAAGGTGAATGTCCTTGAGTGGCCTTGTCAGAGCCTCAACCTAAATCCATCGAATCTGTGAAATGACTTGAGTGCATTCCATGAGCGGTCACCATGCAATTTGACTGAGCTTGAACAATTCTGCAAGGAACAATGGGCAAATAATCCACAGTCTAGGTGTGCAAAGTTAGTAGTGACGTATTCAAAGAGACTCATGGCTGTAATTCAAGCAAAAGGTGGTTCCACCAAATATTAACTCAAGGGGGTGTTCACTTTTCCAAATAGGGTATTTTACTGTTTTAATTGTAATTAATTTTCAGAGTTTATTAGATTATTTTTTTCACTTGGATATTGTGGGTTACTGTGTGTAAATAAAGCCGGATAAAAGTCTGATTTTATGTGTTTTCATTTCAGGCTGTAAGGCAACAAAAGGTGAACGTTTTGAAAGGGGGTGGTGACTTTCTATACCCACTGTATGAACTTAAGTAATACTACATCTTTGTTTGTTTTTGTCAACCACCCATTTTTATGATAGTTATTGTCTGTAAAGAACCCTTTAGTTCTTTAGATTTTACCCTATATTTATCCTATTATCCTATGTTTTGAAGTACCCTCTCAAAACGAGCCTGTATGAGGTTGGCTTTATCGACGAGCTGCTTCTTCATGTCAGCTGTATAGCAGCCGGTCTGGTCAGGTTCTCTGGGTCACCCAGCTGGGCCAGAAACGGTGCTAAGACGTCCAGCTTCTTCACCTCCTGTCGAAGATGCTCCTCTTTGGCCATCCTCTACTGGACATGACATGAGGTACAGGGGAAATACTGTAGGGTAAGAAGGAGGCACTGAGGGTCAGTCAGCCTTCTGTGATGAGAGAGTGATTGTAATTCTTACTAGTGCCTCTCAGTGACAGCATGCTCTCTCATTCCTCACTGTGTTGTAGATGGAGATGTGAAGCTCAGTACTGCCCTCTTCTTGTTCTCTCACACCCAGTATTGCCCTCACCTGAGCAAAAATACTAACTGTTTATTACTTTGTTATTTCTCTAATTTGAACACATTAATTCATGCCAAAGTACATACACAACACTCCTCTTTCTCAGACTCATTGACTGTGCCACATTCTCCTCCTCCATCATATGGACTAGCATTTCATACAGAAAGAGATTCTTACTGGGCCTCTCAAATGGATCTACCTGAAAGCACATACATAAAGACCATTGGACAAACACCATAGTCATCCTCCCGGGTGGTATGTCACTTGGATCCTGTCATCAGACACTAGGAAGATCCATTCTGCTACATCCTCCCCAGCTGTCTTGGACCCGTCTCGATTGAACCGCTCCACCACCTTCTGCTCATACACCGTAAAAATAGAAAGACTCAAAACTCTATGATTGTGTAGTGAAACCATCAAAAGTAGTAGATCTAAGCTGAGATCTGGTGTTTAGAGGGTGTTTGAATGAAACCCTCAATGTAAGTGTTATGACACACAGAAAGTGTTTTAAAAACAGAATAGAAGTACTCTGAAACACCCAAAGAGGTTCTTCAATCTG